TGTTCCTTCAAAATATTTGGCCCCCCTCCCACTTAAATTAATCCTACAAGTTAAGTTATAAACTTTTCAACATCTCCCGATGTCTCTCATTTCAAATTATGTATTCACTATATATATATATTGTGACTCACATTCAAATTATTAAAACATGCGTGAATGTTTTCATTTTTTTAACCATACAAAGCAATGTGCATTGAAACATATTACAAAATAATTTAATATAGATTCAATTATAAATTATTTATTCTAAACTTTATTAAATTTGTAATGTAATGATTATTTTGAAATATGTTAACTGGATATCAATGTATTTGATTTAGTATTTCAACTGTAGTTGGCTCCCCGCACTATTCAATCCTGGCTCCGCCTCTGAAAACGGGGTTGCAATTTTGAAGACTGGACGAGGAGTATACTTTTCGATCCCACTCCACCATATCCCGTTGTCATTCTTTGTGACCTCCCATTTAAAAGAGACTAAAGAGTTATAGTTATGTCACTCGATTACAAGTATTTGGCTACTTTTCAACATTTTAGTGCATATGAATTGACAGCGTCTACAAATCTATTGACTATTGGGCGCAGAAAAGATAACCCACGTCCCACGGTCCACGGATCACCCTTCCCTTCCTAAACCCCTTCCTTACTTTCTCTTTTCTCCTCCGCCCGCCACCTTCACTATCACGCACTCCTCCTTTGAGCTCTCACTTCAAGAATGGCCGCCAATCTTGTCTTCTCCGGTAAGGCCTGCGACCAAACTTCGCTTATCAGGTACTCCCACGCCCTACGATTCTTCATTTTCATTCAATTTACTCATTTCATTTCCCTTGTCTTTTTCCTCCCTTTGCTCCAAACAATGAGATTATTCCTGCCCTTCTGTCTATCTTGAACTGAAATTCGGTGTAAACTTTAAAGCTCTATTCTTTTTGCCGTTAATTTGAAATTGAAGTAATGCGATATCTGTTTGGTTTACATGTGCTTGTTGCCGGAATTGGTTCTCTTTGTTAGTGTATGGATGTGACTGAGCACCTATTTTGTTATATTAAATTTTGTTTCGGAGTATTATGGATTTGATTGTGACCTTACTTTGCTAAGCATATGTTGTGTTTGTTCTTTTGTCGCGCTTAATATTGATTATTTGTGTTGGGTCTGCCCAGGACAACTGCAAGATGGAGGTCTCCCAGAGCTGCAGTAATTCCCAATTTTCATCTCCCTATGAGGAGTAATGAGGTTAAAAATAGGTAAAGAATTTCTGTAATAGTTCTTGTCTTTAAAAGAGAAAAAAAATTATTTTTTAAGTCTTTCTTTTCTGTTCTGTCAATTCTCAGTTCTTTATTATTATTCTTTTACCAGAAAAAAGAAAAAGAACTAAAGAGATTAAAAAAAAAAAAGAATTGTCTTCCTCTAAGCTATTCTTCTTTATTATTGTTCTTGAATGTTATTTTCTGCATCTGTCTTGTTAATTCAAGCAATTTATTTTTCTTGATTCGAAATGTATTCTTTATTTGTGGGATTCTGCTCCTTATAAGTGGATGCAGTTCAGAATTTCAGTAATAGTTCTTGTCTTTAAAAGAGAAAAATGCGATTTTTTAATCTTTCTTTTCTGCTCTGTCAACTCAGTTCTTTACAACTGTATTATTTTTTTTACCAGAAAAAATAAAAAAGGACTAAAGAGATGTTTTAAAAAATTGTCTTCCATCAAGATTTTCTTCTTGATTGTTATTTTTCTCTGGGAGTTGCTTAAAATGCTAGTTAGGTTTCAATCGGCATTTGTGTTGTTAATTCAAACAATTTATTTTTCTTGCTTCGAAATGTTTTATTTGTTTATGGGATTCTGCTTCTTAAGTTCTTATAAGTTGATGCAGTTCGGGATGATTTTTCTAATGCCATTCTTGGCAATAGATTATTAAGTATGTTTGGTCAATCACATGTGAACTGTGAACAGAATCATTTTTCAATTGTTAAGGTTTTTTCTTTCCTCTAATACCTTTGTGCTTAACTTTTCATCCCTGCGAGGTTTCTGGAATCTATTCAGTGGAGGTAACACGATAAGATATTACACTCGCTAATTGCTTTAACTAGAGTGTCACCACAAACTTCTATGAATTATTATGCTGATGCATACAAATTCCACTTTTTTTTTCCCTTTTTTCTAACTTCTGCGGATTTTATAGTAGGGATGCTAAGGAAATAGTGATGCATGGGTCAAGTTCTTGTGCACAAGATATGAATTAAAGAAGCTTTTTCCGTTGTTTCTTCTCCTTAAGTCTCCCTATTTTTGTATCTCGGGGTGGGTGGGTGGGTTAACACCTACTTTTGTGAATTTTGTGGGTTTTTTGGGCTTGGTCATGGATTGTTAAGGGCAATTTAGAGAACGACTTAAACTAAGTATTTTGTCCCCAATTAAAGAAACCCAATATTTTTTAACAACTGCCACATTTTCCTGCAATTATAAACATATGGAATACTCCGAGTTCTAGAAAGGTTGGCTCCTATAGTCCTATTGCCTCGATATATTCTGCATAAATCTTCATTCCTTGAAAAAATCACTTTAAAGTTCAATCAAGATTGTGTCTCCACCCACCACCTGAAAAGAAAAATGAAGAGATATATTAGCATACGGTGAAGACTTTCCGTCTTTTTAAACTAGAAATAAATGCTATCTTTCGTGAATTAGTTGACTTGGAAGAAAGAACTCTTTACTGATTTGCCTTGCTTTTTTATGTAGGACATATGCTGAGGATATAAAAGCACTTAGATTGATTACTGCAATAAAAACTCCGTATCTACCGGATGGCAGATTTGATCTCGAGGCATATGATGCGATAGTAAACATGCAGATTGAAAGTGGTGTCGAAGGCGTAATCGTTGGTGGCACGACCGGTGAGGGTCAATTAATGAGCTGGGATGAACATATCATGCTCATTGGCCACACGGTTAACTGTTTTGGTGGGTCCATCAAGGTTATCGGGAACACGGGAAGCAACTCGACGAGGGAAGCAATACACGCTACCGAGCAGGGCTTTGCGGTCGGAATGCACGCAGCTCTTCACATCAATCCCTACTACGGCAAGACTTCCTTAGAGGGCATGGTTTCTCACTTCAACAGCGTGCTCCCGATGGGACCCACGATTATCTATAACGTGCCATCACGAACCGGTCAAGATATTCCACCTGCCGTGATTGAGACAGTGGCGACGAGCCCTAACCTGGCTGGCGTCAAAGAATGCGTAGGAAATGACCGAGTGGAGCAGTACACAAGCAAAGGTATCGTCGTTTGGAGCGGAAATGATGATCAATGCCACGACTCTAGGTGGGATCACGGCGCAACAGGCGTGATTTCCGTTACGAGCAACTTGGTTCCGGGTCTGATGCGGGAACTTATGTTCGGAGGGAAGAATCCCAGTTTGAACGCCAAGCTCGTGTCCCTAATCCAATGGCTTTTCGAAGAACCAAACCCCATTGGCTTGAACACAGCCATGGCACAGCTCGGGGTTGCTCGCCCCATATTTCGCCTGCCGTATGTTCCACTCCCCAAGAAAAAACGCGAGGAATTTGTGAAGATTGTGAACGATATTGGGCGGGAAAACTTTGTAGGAGAGAAAGATGTTGAAGCTCTGGATGATGATGAGTTCATTTTGGTTGGACGTTATTAGCTTTCTGCACATTGTGGTTAGAACTACTCAGAAGTTTTGTTGAACTTCACCACTGAAATGTGTTTGATGTTTTAGTGTCGTATATGTTTTGTTCTTGAGCCGGGAGGGAATGGAATATCGCGACAAACAAAAATATTCACCACTTTCGACTTAAATGCAATTAGTATATTGTGCATTAAGACTTAATTGGTACATCATTTTAGTGGTTTTATAATCTACTTTCAGTACACAAATAATACATTTTTAATATATTTTTTTATAGTCCTTACTCCTTAGTACACAAATAATATATTTTTAATATATTAAAAATATAAAATATATTTTTTTATAGCTCATACAGCACTATGTGGACGATATACCATGGACCAGGGTTCAAAGTGCATTGTGGATCCTGGTGTATGTATATGTCTTATGTTGTGAGTTTTTGTATTATGAAATTATGCACCAAGTATGAATTTTGTACCTGATACAAATTAGTAATTGTGTCATATTATAAATTTATGTGTCTTGTGTTATGAAAAAATAAGTAATATATAACATGTGTATACGTCTTGTATTGTGATTTTTTTTGTATCTTGTGTTATGAAATTATGTACCTCGTCGTTTCAATCCAAGATCCATAATGCTATTTGGACATTCGTCCATGATATAAATAGCCACCAAAAGTTATACTCTTCTTTCATATCTAGTGGGCTTGTTTCAAATGTTTATCTTTTAGGTTATGGATAAGGTGAGTCCTTTTTTAGTTGTTATATAGTGGATCTTGGTCAAACATCGATGTGTGAATCATGATCGTCGAATGAAACTGTAGTAGAATTAAAATGATACTTTAATGTTATTATAATGAAATTAGTATGTGTGAAAAATGAAAACTAAAAAACAACGCATATTATTGTCAAATAAAATTGTAGTATAATTAAAATGATATTTTAGACTTTTAATATTGCTATAGTGGAACTAATGTGCGGAGCCATATAATAACATATGTTGTCCAATGACCTAAAGTGCAATTAAAATAATACTAAACATTACTATAATTAAACTAGTGTATATGAAAAATAAAACAAAAAAATACAGAGTAAAACTCAAGCAATAATGTATATTATCAAATGAAACTATAGTATAATTAAAATGATATTTTAATATTGCTATAATGAAACTAGCATGGAGGAAAAATAAAATTAAAAACATAACAATATTGTCAAATGAACAAAAGTGTAATTAAAATGATACATACTTCATGATCCACGTTGTTACATAGACCATGATCCACAATAAAATTTGCCCTCTTTTTTACCAACCTCCTAACATGCAAGGGAAGCTAACATAACAGAATAGACAACAATGTAACATTAACATACCTATACACAAATATATTTCGAAAAATAACATAAATCCAAAAATTACACTATTTGGATTGGGCACAAGTAATGAATGAGCCCACTACACAATTACAAAAGCAAAAGGGGCAGTCATGTGAATATTCTTACATAATCTTTTGACTTATTCCCTAAATATTACTAAGGCAGGCAAAATAATAAATACTTGCCCCAATATTTGTAGAACCTACCCAGAAACTTGCACCCAATGGACACTATTATGCCATTGATCTTCTTCCTAAATATCAGTTCACTAAATACACCAAGGCCAAAACTATTACTTACCCTTATTCTGCAGGTGATTGTAAAATGGATTCTATTACCACAAGCAAATCACGAGCAAGTGCTTTCCTAATCCTTCGGGACCTTCCCTAGCATTGAAGGTTACAATTTCAAAGCAACATCGGACACCTTACAGCAGAAAGGATAACCCTGCAGAGAGTATTTGGAATGTTAATCAAGAATATTTAATAGAACACCGAGGGTCTTTCTTGGCTAAACACTTTCAAATAATATCTAAGCACTAAATCACCTATTCATTGTTGCAAGCACATGAGAGGAGTGTGTAATGTTCAGTAAAATAAATCAAAATTTTAAGATAGACCACTTGGGGTGCCATGTACTAGGGATTGATAACACATAAATCTTCATCCCATCAATAACAGTAACTTAAAAAGACAGTACCCTCTCTTGAAATGGTTTAAAAACCATAATCATGCAATTTTCCAGCAAAAATCAGGCATCCAACACTGAACTCGAGGATATTTTTGTCACACTTTACAATATAATATGGTCATTTTTCTTGTTAGGCACCATAAGTTTTGACACCAAGTTGCAACCACAATACCCTTATCCAGCACTAGTTGCCCTTTTGAAATTGTGTTCAGAAAAAAGCAGACAGTTAAAAACCATATCAAAAAAAATAATTTTTAAACATTTTGAAACATCAATGATAATATCATAGTTCAACCCAAACTTCAGTACCCACCCCCAAAAAAAATGTAATTACTTCACAAGAGACACTAACAAAAAACCTATGATATGGAAAATAGTCCACGACTCAGTGCCTCACGTTTCGTAATAGGAAGGCTCTGGCACCAAAATCTTGCTATGAAACAATGCAGAAGTTGTAATAAGTTCAAGCTTACCTAATCACTGAAAAACACTCGTGAAGTCATTTGGAGGAATTCTTTGCAGCATTTGGACACTAACTTTAGCATTGTCAGCAATATTCACATCTGGCTCCTGCTTCACTTTGCATGTATTGCTTTCCTTATAGATTCTTGAATGATATATGTTACTTATTGGTGGTGATTCAGATTCATCAATAGCAAAGCGACTAGGAATGGATGATCCTCTACTGGCAAACCCAAGATTCCTAATAGGTCCCTGGTCAAGCAATTGATTTGATTTGTGATTGTCTGGAACAGGGATGCCAGTAATGTTAGGTACAACACCTGCCACGTGTCTAGAAGCACCAATGATACACGCTGAGTTCTGAACTTGCCAGCTAGCACTGTTGTCAGCAATCGTAGAGCATGATGAGACAGATGGAGAGAGAGAGCCTGTAGCACAAAACATATTAGACCTACATGGCAGTTTCTGTTCCCTATTAGCTACTTGCCCAGCACCTGAAGAAGAATTACCTGATTGTGGAGAAAGAATTCTAGAATCCATTACATTACTTTTGCTAAAACTGCTGGTCTGACTGATTGAAGCAGGACTATTTGTGACTTGAAAATTGGCTGAAGACAGAGATGGAACCACTAGGCATGAGGGCCGCACATTAACCGGACGGCAGGACTCTGGAATAGTAGATAACTTCTGATGCTGCTCCATTTGTTGCTGTTTTTGCTGTTGTTGATGGTGTTGCATCATTGTTGTTAACATATTACCATTTTGAGCACCTAAACCACTAAGATTGACACTGGGAACCACACAAACATTTTTTGGGGGCCAAGCTCCGACACCTAAAGGAATATCCTCTGTTGACAAATGTTGAGTAAATTGTTTGGAAATGTTTGGTGGGCACTTCATCAGAGGCTGACCATAAGCCACAGCTTGATCATCAAGAATGTATTTTGTGCCTGGCAGAGATGCTTGTAGCAAAGCTGGATGGTCAATTGTTGGCAAAACTAGACCACTTGTAGGTCGCCCTAAAAACTCAGCATGAATAGCTGCCAAAGTTTGTGGAGCAATTTGGCAGGAGGCTGCTAGTGCTTGAATTTCATATCTCCCCAAAGAACCCAGATTTGGATTTGGTTCAATTGGTCCACAAAAGGAATTAGGAAGGCCACCCTGTTGTTGAGCAACTCCACTCAGCCGTTTCAAATAAAGCCTAAATTTCTGCATGTTGGGAATCAAAGAGTTAGCAAATAGAAATGAGTGTGCACTGTGGCTATAAGACAACTATGAACTTTGCTTACAAAAAAACTGGTGTTTGTCCACAAATCCTAGGACCTCATTATTTAGTCGTAAAAAGATAACTAAATTGCATATTTAAGCACTAGTTGAATTTGTTGAGATAGAGGAAACACAACACTCTAGAGATATATCCAGGGTATCACCGTATCACTATGTACCTTCTCCACAAACATATGGATTTTCTCTAAATACTAGACACAATTTAATAATCATCAGAATCTTTTACAAATACCATGATTCTAGTAGGTGCAAATTAACAACATATAGAGTACTTCCAAACACATTAAAAGGTGATATACTGCAGAAAAACACCAACTTAGCCATATTTCCTTTAACTTTAGCCTCTAAACCTTACTATATTAAACCATCCTTCTACTGACCACACAAAGAAGGAAAAATAAACAAAATAAATGATGATGGTAAGATGGTTATGCTTTTTTGAAAGGTAAAAGAACTGTATAGAACCATGTGGCATCATATAACAATAGGACAACTCCTCAGTTATTTAGAACCCCCTGGCATTAGTCATCTAGTCTCTTAGAAAGTGATGTAGTAAATCCAGGGACCATATATATAGATCCCCAAAAATAAAAATAAAAATAGAAAAAACTAATAATAATCATTCAGGGAAAAATTAGTGATTAAGATGTTTGCATTTAGCCCATATACTAACAACAGAATAACAAACACAGCTTCTGTGTTATACACAAATATGTTCCCCCCCACTGTCCAACCCCTTCCATAAATCCATCCCTTATTGGGGTCAATTGGTCAAATAGCATATCACTCAAAGCATAAGGGCTATCTCTGTTTTTTTATAATGATAGAGCGGGAGTTAATGGTTGGTGTACTCTTTTCATGGAAGATATATTTGAAGTGCTTGTGATTCTCCCATTGTACCTCTATGTATATGGGCGAGGTAAAAAGTGAACATATTAACATGAAAAGTAACGCATTTATACAATTTCTATAAGACATTGCACCTGCAAGTGGCTAGCAACATTTTCTCTTGTTAAACCAGGAACATTCATTAATTCTAGGATTCTCTTAGGTACAGCCTCTGTAAAGAAATACAACAAATAAAAGTTAGAAATATTAAAATTGGAAATCCTGTGGTAAGGATATATTTTGTAAATAAAATTCATAGAAGACAAAGTTGCAAAAGTTCATACTGTCAATCCCAAGTTGGTTAACAGCACTAACAAACTGTTGATGAAGTTCCACTGACCAAACCACACGTGGTTTCTTTGCAGTAGCTGGGTCATCATTTTCTATTTCATCGTCATCATCATCATCATCATCATCATCTTTAAAATCTCTTTTCTTCGTCACCGTTTTCAAGACTCCATCAGCTCCTTCAATAACAGAAGAAGCATACTCAGCATCATCACCTCCCTGTTTAGGCTGATCATTATCTTCAAAGCTGCCAGAATGGTCATTTTCTTTACTTAGATTACACTTCTTCCTAACAACATGCTGCCAGATATTCTTCAACTCCTCATCACGTATAGGCTTAATCAGATAATCACAAGCCCCATGTCGAATTCCCTTCATGACAAGGTTAGTTCTTCCATCTGCTGACATCACTGCAAAACATTAAACAGGTATGTATCAGTTCAAAGAAATATTTCATGCATTTCAGGCAGAGAATTATCAGTTTATCACTCACTTATAACAGGAAGGTCCATTTCCAGCCCAACATGCTCAAGAAGTTTGAATCCATCCATATCAGGCATATGGACATCACTTATCACAATGTCATAACAGCCTCTCCTTTCCCGTAATAAGTTTAATGCTGCAGTTGCTTGGGAACAAATGGTCACTGCAATCAGTTAAAAAGAAACCAAAAGTAGTAAGAATGGATTTTAACAATTTAATTTGCTAGAGCAAAGAGGATTTATAGCAATTGCAAAGACTTGTATAACAGATCCACAAATGACATAATCAAACTAAACGATCAGCCTGATGCTTTATAGGTGGACATAAAGCATTCAAGTCACTAATAGAGCATTGGCACATTCAAGTCTCTTGTCCCAACATGTAATTATCTTCCTCTTTCGTAAACCCCTTTACTTGAACGAATTACATGTTAGCACTCTTTAATAAATTGTAAAATAACATAAACTTAACCAGAAGTCTTACCGTAAAAGTGAAGATGTAAAGAGGCAAATTTTAAAGAGTAGGGCTAAATGTGGCAATGCCACAATAGTCGAGTACTATAATTGGAATTTGCTCGAAAATATATCAACTCAAGTACTTGAAAAACTTCAGAATTGTGGAAAATTCTCAAAAAATATAAAGAAAATGACTAAACTTATGCTTATCACCATGGAAAACAGCCAAAATAAAAAATAAAAAATAAGATGATATTTCTTATCCCGCCAACGGAGACACCACTCTCAATGAAGTGTGGCAATAAATAAATAAATCTCAAAGCGGATTAGTGGAATTACAAATCAATAGTTCAAAAACATCTCAAATTACCAAGCAAAATATACTAAATGACGCAAAAAAGATACGTTGATCAAATGGGAAGCAATAAAAATAAGTAATAAATAATACAAAAACAACAGAACAAACCATTGTACTTGCACTTGCGAAGCATTTGCTCTAGAATTCTGAGGCAAAGAAGGTCGTCGTCAACTACTAGCACCCTGAGCCCAACCGGGAACTGCTCCGGCACTACCGCAGCAGCCATCACAAATCACAACCCTACCCCGCGAGAAATCAAACCACACAATTACACTCCGTACGACGCCCAGGAGCACTCAGAACTCCGTACCTCTGTCAGAGCTGCAACCGAGCAGCAAGCTGCTATGTCATTGATGAATTTAACCTGCATAAACCCAGCAGAAGCGATGCGCGAGCGCGATCTATGTGGAAATTGAGGTTGAAAACGTAATAAACAGGCGGAGATGAAGAATTTGAGAGAGACCACTTTAGGGTTCCAATGATTGAGCAATTAGGGGAGTAACAGAAAGCAAGACCAAAACGAACAAAAGTGGAGACTTCAAGCCGGAGGAAATGAAGGAGAAAGGGGAAAAATCGGTGGGACTGTACCGGACGAGTAGCAGTGTTGCACAGTTGTTCTTAGACAAAGGATCAATTCTGTTCTACTACGTAAGAAAATAATTGCAAAAGATAAAATAAAAAAGAAAAGTGGTTTGGCGGCTATTAATCATAGTTGGGTTTAACCGGGCTAAAATGGGTAAAAATACAAATTTGTAATAACAATGTCACTTAGAGTGCGTTTGGAAATTTCAAAAAAGTAAATCATTTTTGTTGATTTATGGTGTTTGGCTAGGCAGGAAAATGAGAAGTCAAAAGAAAATTAGCTCTGGTGAAATAACTCTATACTTTCGGAAAATGACTTCCTTTTTTTTTGGGAAGTCATTTTTCATTTCGGAAAATCACTCTGCTCGTCGCTGATGAGGAAGACGGAGGAAGAAACCCAATCACTGTGTCGATCTGCCCCTCACCGCCGTTGATCTATCCGATCACCGTCGCCTACCACCATCGCTACTAGTCGAGAATAAAGAAAGAGGGAAACGAAGGTTCAAGGCCTGTTGCTTCGCCGCCGAATCTGCTTCAAGGTAGACGGGGGTTCAAGAAAGAGAGACAGAGGCCGCCGAATCTGCTGTCCACCAACACCGGAAATCGATTTCACCAAACCCTAATGGTCACCCGTCAAATCTCCTATCCACCGCCAGTGTTTTGCCTTCTTCTTCTTCTTCTTTTTTTTTTTTTTCCCTAATTTCACATACTGATTTGTATACTGGCATACTGCTATGTTTTGTCTAATTTCACCATCGCCACTGTCCACCACTTTTTTTTTCTTTTTTTTCTTTTTTTTTTTGCCTATGTTCACATAATAATTTGTGATATTTTTTTTGGGTTTTGTCAATTTCCTATTAATTTCTGAAAAATGAACCAAATACACAAATACAGTTTTTTGTTGTGTAGCCAAACACCAGAAAAGAAAAATATTTTCTGAAAAATGACTCATTTTTCAAAAGTCATTTTCTTGCTTTCCAAACGGACCCTTAGTTAGAATCTTAGATCTCTTAGTTTGAGACGATCAGTTATGAGCAACTTAGGCGAGTTTAACTCCTTGTGGTCATTTGTCAACTAAAGTCATGAGGCAGGAGTTGATTCAGTGCACACTCTCGAATACTGGTTGCTGACCCCTGAATTATCATGGTCTACTCATTTATTATCATATTGGGTCGAGGTGTGAGATTTGTGGGTGAAGAATTTTATCTTTTGCGGATAGGATTTTGCTATTCACTTAAAAAATAAAAATAATACAAAGCATTAAAGTAGCATTATCTAATTATGAGTGTGATTGGAAGTTGTATTATTTGATCTAAAATATACAAGGTATAAAGTGACAAATAAAAATATTCATGCCACATCACAAGTTACCGTTAAAATGATTGACATCGCCATCACCTTAAAAAAAAAAAAAAAAAAAAAAAAAAAAAAAAAAAAAAAAAAAAAAAAAAAAAAGAGTTTGATTTAACACTATAAGTTATTATGGCATTACTAGCATATGAGTTCTACTATATGTACTCCCTAATTTTACTCTCTGATGTGACGGACTCTGATAAGTCCCAATACAAATGTCTACATCAAAGATTTTGTGTGTAGGAGTACAAGTTAGGAGTACAAAATGTGAGTACATGTAGCATTTTCCCTAGTATACTAACATCCTTTATATAATAAAGCTATATGGTTTGGGAAATAATTAATGTTATAATTAATGCCACAACATCTTTTATTATAAAAAAAAAAAAACACAATATTTAAAAAATAAACTAGCTATATATTATATAATCATATAAAAAATATACTTTTGAAAAATAAAATAGTTATATATTATATAATCATATAAAAAATGTGTTCAATTAGAGTTTAAATTTACACATACAAAATTTGAAATTTGCTTTCCAAATGTAATTATCTTAGTTATTATTTGTATCGTGAAAATTATAATATAGATGAAATGCAATTAAGAATAAATCAATGTAATTATATAAATTATCTCTATAAGTTTATTTGAATATGCACATAATTAGAGATTATATTAACCATACAAAATTTTAATTTTAATTTTAATTGTAATTTTGTATTCTATAAAAATAATAAATACTTGACCAATGGAAGCTCAAAAATATTATTATATTAAATAATTTAAAATATTTTAGTTTTTATATTTTTTATTTATATTTATAATAACATAATTTTTTTCCGTGCATCGCGCTGATGAATTACTAGTTATTTATAAAATACAAAAAGTCAATTATTGTCAAATAAATTCTAATACTTGTTGTCTATAACTGTACTTGCTCCAATAAAAAATAAGCTTCAATACGCATAGGCAACGGAACCACAAGTTTGTATGTTGTTAAAACTAGGGGTGTCAAAGTGGGCCAAAGCTCGCGGGTTAGTCTGCACTCGTCCCGCAATGGGGCGGGTTAGGGCCTCAAGAAATTAGGCTCGCGAAAATGCGGGCCTAACGGGCATGGTCCGCGGAGGGCCAGAGCCCGCGCGGGCAAATCCGCGCGGGTTGTGGGCCGACCCGTGGGCCCGGCCATATTTAAAAAATAAATAAATAAATTATATATATAATATCTTTTTTTTTTAAAATCATATATATAATATCTTAATTCTTAGGCAATGTGTAGATCTAACTATCTAAGAGTACGCAGAAGGGGAGAAATCCAATAATTCAATAATTCCTAGAGTACGTAGTTCTTGATTCTAAAAAAAAGAGTACGTAGTTCTTCGGTTCTCCCGTCTCCATCCGCCTCCAACTCTATCAAATAATTACTAAAACTAAATCATCAATTCATACATATTTATGAATTACTAAATCGCCTCCAAGTCTAGCAAACATACATATTTATATATGTATTATACACATACGGGAATTGTAGAGGGCTGAAGCCGAGAGAGAAATCGAGTGTGCTGTTGAACCCTAGCTTTGATCACCCTTCTACAGTTCTGCTGAACGCGCGGTATCGATCTGAGAGATTTGGGCGAGGTTTATGGATTTTATGGAAGTTTCCGGTGCCATATTTCAAGCGGTTTTAACATGTTTATATACTATTTAATGTTTTTTTAAAAAAAATTAAGAGATGGCTCGCGGGCCAGCCCGCGAGACTCGCAAGCCCGCATGGGGTGGGCTTGGGTTGTATAGTCCCAAGCCCGCGGGCTTCGCGGACCGGTCCGCCAAAGCCCGCCAAATAAAAAGCCCGCGGTGGGACGGGCCTAATGAGGCGTGCCGGCCCGTATTGACACCCCTAGTTAAAACTAAAGGATACACAACTACAATGTTTTTTTCCCTACTTGATTTATTGATTATTTTTTTAATAATACCTTGAGTTACAATATTGTGCATGCTTTTTAAAGTTGTACATTTAGGGTCCATTTTGAAATCCGTAAAATGTTTTTGAGAAAATGAGTCATTTTTCATAAAATATTTTTCTTTCCAGTGTTTAGATGCACAACAGAAAAATGTCTTTGTGTATTTGGTTTTCTGAAAATGAGCAGAAAAACGAGTAGAATCATATACTTCAACATTTTAATTTAATTGTTATATACCCAAAAAAAAATTATTTTTTTATTTTTTCTATCTATCTATAAAACAAATAAAAATAAAACACACTGTTTTTTAATAAAAAAATATTAAAAAACAAATATTTGTTTACATTTTAAAAATATAAAACAAAAACTAGAGGAATTCTCTGGTTTCCGCAGTTACTAAAGGAAATCATGTTTTTTGGCGACATGGGCACTTGGCGGAAGTCATTTTCCGCCAAAATGCTTATATTTTTTCCAGTCAACGAAAAATGTTTTCCGTTAACTGGATTTTCCTATTGCATCCAAACACAATAAATTCAGAAAACACTTTCTATAAACCATTTTACGGGTTTTCAAACGGACATTTAATGATTTTAGATGTGTAAATTACAATTTTTGAGGGGTGAGTAAACTTTTAAAATATTTCAAAACTTCTTGTTATTGGCATTAATTGGCCAAATTATTTTGGCAAAACCTATCAAAATAGGAATTTCAAAATCTAATACAAAATGAGAAGTTCAAGTCAAAGTGAAACAATGAAACAAATATTACCACATTAATATGAGTCAAAATGACAAGATCTATAAAAGGATGTCAATGCACAAGGCACAATGTCTAATCAAGAATTTCTAGGCATTCTTTGAGCTCTTTAACAGTTTTCCACAAACTACAAAATGTCTCTACTAGGTTTGTTACACTCTAAGCATAATACTAAATTTTTCTTTTTTGTACGTAATGAAAATACTAGACAGATACATCTTATATGGTTTAAATTTATTATAAGTAGTACTAGGGTTAAGGTTTCACTTGATAGATAGGGAAATCTTCAAGCATCTAGGTTTTGTTTTTGGATCATCTTTAGGTTTGGTTAATGACCATTTCAATGTTGTATATACTTGTCTCTCAAGATATTCAACCATGTATCTCTCTTTTTTCGTTTTTTCATTTTTTTTCAATGTTTTTTCCTTTGTTTTTAGTCATTTCTTTCAAAACATTATAGATAAAGTGTTGATATTATTTTGTACTCCGTAATTTTTTTCTAACAAACAAACAATGCTTTCACTTGACACACACAGGGGTTCAAATGATAAATGATCTTTATGTAAAAAGTGACTAATCACAAGCGCCACTAAAGTCATCAATGATTGGGGGGTTTTAGTAAAAAAACGTATAGTCAATTTTATAATTATTGTAAATGATCAATTTTGCAATAATTATAAAATTGACATCACCAATATTTCTCTTATTTTTCAACAACTCTCAATTGTTACTTATCCAAATTGATTGATCATATCAATCATTGCTTTTTACTTGAGAGTTTGTTCTCACATGAACCATCACACATACACACACACACACATGGGCTCATTATGGTGAGAATTGCTACCCATGAGAGAACTATAAACTAATTCTAGTCGTCCATCTTGAAATATCTAACATATCATAAGCACTTTTTATAAAATGTGATGATATTTTTGTAAATAATCCAAACTTTGAAGTGCAAGTGTGTAAGTAA